ATGATTAAACTTACCAAAAATGGGATAACCTGACTTAGTGTGCATCCTGACAGTTAGATGTACACAACATACCTATGCAGTCTGTGTCAAAAAAGCTAATTGCAGATGAACAGACAAACTTAGTATGTGGAATGTTCTATAAAACAATCAGTCTAGATTCTTTAAAAAAAAAAATCAATGTCATGGAAAACAAACATGATGGGATGGGAGGGGATAGTCCTAGATTAAAAGAGGCCAAAGAGAAATAATGTTATGAATGAGTCATGATTATTGACTGTGGAGTAGTATGAGAAATTGTTTTGGGACAAGTGTGTAAATCTGAATACAGATTCTATGTTAGAGGATATTACTGAATTAATATTAACCTTCCTTGGAATAGTAACGGTGTGGCTAAGCAGGAGAAATTCAGAGATGCGTGTTGAAGTATTTAGGAGGGAAGAGTCATGATTGCCTGCAACTTATTTTCAAAATGGTTCAGTACAAGAAAACAAAGTGTATGTTTTTGTGTATATAGAAACTTGTATATTCACATGCTTTTTGGCTGATATATTACATTTATATTACATGTGGTTCTCAGAATGGGGCCAGGAGAACTGTAGGATTTCTTGATAGCCTTTCCAGGACACTGTGAAATCAAACCCATTTTATAAGAATATTGAGATGTTATTTGCCCTTAATATTGTGTTCTGACATTTCACTAATGGTGCAGAAGCCATGGTGTTTTGGCAGGTGTCTTAGCACGAATCAAGGCAGTGTATTCAACTGTCCTGTAGATATTTTGTACCTTATTGCCGTGTAATTTTAGTTAAGCAAGAAAAGAAAAACCAATTTCACTTAAGAATGTCATTGATAAAGTGATAAAAATTATTAATTTTATTAAATCTTAACCCTTAAATGTGTGTCTTTTTATTATTTTAGCTTAAGAGCTGAAAGCATGTGACCAAGTAGGAATTACATATGAAGTATTTTTGCCACATATGATGATTGTTTAGTGGAAGGAACACTTGTGTGATTGAGTTGCAAGTTGAATTAGGTGCTTTTTCATAGGACACCATTTTTCTATAAAATGACTGATAAACTATTATATAATAATTCAGACTTGGGTATTTGGCAGCCATTTTCTCAAAACTGAATAAACTGAGAGACACTTGTCGACAAAAGTAAAATTCAAGCTTTCAAACTAAATGCAGAATTTTGGGAAACTTTTATCTGTCATCGTGAGCTTCATAGCTTTCTAGTACGGAGGCTGAGATCAGTGGCAATATTAATATGATTTTTTGATACTGTATGATAAAAAGTATCTATAGTTACAAAGTTCTGAATGAATGTATTTTTTCCAAATGACCAATGTATAATGTTATGAAATCAAGCATGGGTAAAAGATCCATTCAAAGATCAAGACAGAACAAAGGATTTTCATGTAACAAAGTATAAAGTAATAAAATATTCATTGATATGGTTTTAGATCCCACATTACAATCATGCTTTAAGAAACCACCACTTACTGAGTTTTGGTATGCTACCAAAGAAGAAAATCCAGAAGGCTATTAAATAGTTCTTTATTATTCATCTGTATGAGATTGGATATTCTTCAACATATTTTAACTAAAACAACATTTTGGAACAGATTGAATGTGGTAGTGGATATGAGAATACAGCTGTTTTCTCTAGGCCAGGTGTCAAGGAGATTTGCAAAAATTTAGAATAATGAAAGTGTCCTCTATAAACTTTTTTTAAAGATATTTTTCACAAAAATTTTATTTATGTTAACATATCCTACTTTAAAATTTTCAAATTTTCACAATTTTAATTTCTAATATAGTAAATATGGGTAGATATAATATACACAAAAGCTCTTTGGGGTCCTTAGTAATTTTTTAGAGTGAAAGGGATCCTGAGACCAAAAATTTGAGAATTTCTAGCTAAAATATATTTAACTATGTTTTCAATTTTGTTAGTTTGCTTAACACCTCAGCCCTTAACCTATATGTATTGTACTAGACTATCCATAAGTATCAAAAAAGGATACCAGACTTTTATGAAGAGTAAATTCAAAATGTCCCAGACCCTCACTGTAAATTCTACAGATCACATAGCATTTGCTTCATCTTCTTGAGTTTTTTTTGGTAAGGTGGTTTATTTGTTTGGTTATACATCCACCTACCAACCAAAGGAATCAGGCAAATAATAATCCTTATGTCTTTCTCCTAGCTTTTTTTTTTCCTTCTTCTTGGTATGTAGCCACCACCTGTGGGGCTTGTGTTTCTTGCCACAGGACTCCAGGCTCCCCAACTGTCTGGCCCACTGTTCTGGCCAGGAAGGAGTGGCCTAATTGTTTAAAGTGCTCAATGGATGTGTGCTGCTAGATGCTGAGTACCTGTGTACTGGCCCGATGCCCAGTTTTCTGTGGGATTGATAACAGGTGAATTGGGAGAAGTATCCATTTCCCCTTATTTTTGTGATTTCGTTATTTTTTTGGCCCTGAGTCTCAGATTACAACTCAAGCAATTTCCCATGGAGTTTTATTCTTGCCAGTGTTACCTCTAATTTAGTAAGTTACTAGCAGGGATGGGAAAGGAATTCCATTTTTATTGAATATCTGCATTCTTATTGAATATTTGCTATGTGCCAGGTACTGGCATGTCTTATTTAGTTTCTTAGCAGCTCTTTGGCTCTATTGTGATTCTTATTTTTATTTAGCAGGTAGTGGGGGCAGAGGAGAGTCAGAGATGTGAAAGAGCTAAAAAGCAAGACAAAAAGATATAGCTCAAGGTCATGGCCAATTCAGAGTCAGCTGTTTATCTGTAAAGCACCTCCTTTTTTTCCATCATGCCAGATTGCCTCTGTAAAAATCAGAGTCCCAATAATATTGACGATTTTATACAATGCAATTACTGCCATTGTTATGTAAACAGCCAGTCTAGGGGCCGAGTAGTCCTGCACAGTCTTGCATCTCCAACTTATGTATAAATCACTGTTTTTATTTGGCACACAGTCTTTTCCTTAGGACAGAGACAAGGGAGGGAAGGTGAAAGGGCAGTGGATTTGAGGCCAGGTGGCTTTTTCCTTTAAGTCCCATCCTTGGCCTTTATTAACTATGTGATCATATTCAGGTAGTTCTTGTCTAACCTCTCTGGACCCTAGTTTCCTAAAAGATGAAAGCAGGGGCAATACTAGTCACTTGGTTGCCAGAAACATACAATGAGATGACAGTATCTGCATAGAGGCTTTAAAAACGGAGGACTATAGCAGTGGGAGTGCAGTACTTGGAATTGTTAATTAGATGTCTTAGATCTCACTATCATATAAAAATTATATGAAATATCAATTAATAATGGTTTTCTTCTTACTCCTTGACTTCTGGGGTTGCCTTTTGAGACTGTATCTCTTTTCTTTTTTATTAGGTGGAGTCATAGAATTGTTGATATTTCTCTATTTTTTACTTCCCCAAATGGTGATTTCATATGGTTGATGCTAATACATTTAAAAGTTATTAGTAAAATTACACATGAATGATACAAATATATATGTGTTTGTTTCAGTACTAAAGGGAATATGGCAAAAAGGAAGTAAGCCTCCATTTCGTTACGTTTTTCAAAACTTTCACTCTGATTTTCTTTCTCAGCTGTCTTGATTTCATGTGTACATCCCTAGCCATCTATGACATGCTTTGAATTGAAGAAGCACTGAAGGCAGTGAGGCATCTCCATCTGACTGGGTGGGGCTGATGTGGAGGGTTGGTTAGAGCAGAAAGGGGCGTTACAAATGCTAGTCATTTTAATTATGCTAAGTGGGACATATATTTTTTCATTTTTCTCTTGTGTAAGTACTTTAAGGAGAGAATCCTGGCACGAAGGTTAGTAGATAGAAAAGTAAATGACAAGACTTAAGAGGTTGCATTTTCTCCACTTAGAAAGTCATTTATTGAGAAGAGCCGCCATTTAAAACATACTATAAATTTAGTGGTTTAAAAAAATTTTTCAGGGAGTGGGGCTGCCGTTGATAAGTTCTTCTCCAAATCTCTGCCTTCCCTTAGTTGCAATGTTCGTGTAATTTTTTTCAGAAGATGGGGCTCTTTAAATTTTTGGGTGGGGGGGGCCTGGGAAATAAACTGGAATGGATTCTAAGCATGAATTAAGTTTGGAAAGTATTTATTATTAGTTTAGATTTTTGGAATTTACTATGCAATTTCTAGAAAAACAAACAATAGAATTTAACAAGTTATATTCCTTGTCCTTGCCATCCACAAATTAAAACGTTAAAACACTACGAATACTTGATATTTAAATGTTTGTTAAGTTTCAGAGGAAGAAATCAGAAGCTAAGAATAAAAGAAATGAAAATTGAAATCTAAGACATTCATTAAAAAACCAGCAACTATGAGACCTATTTAATTTCTATTTCTTTCCTTTGAAAATAAATTGTGACTCACCGTTAAATCCATACCAGTGATCCAGGCATTTAGCATTTCAGAGAAGACTTCACAGCTGCCTTGTATAAAGTATTTCACCTTTGGTTTCAGTTTTTGTGAGGTTGTGGCCTTTTGTGCTCTTAAACCAAACCTTCTGTTTTTTGTTTTTTTTTCTTCAACGTTTTAATTCTTTATTGGACTGTCTTTGCTCTGAGGATTACATACGTCATAACCCAGCTGTACTGGTCTGCTTTAACATTTAAATACTCGCTTTTAACTCATTATCCTCCTATCCACACCACTATTGTATTATAGGTTAGCAAATTTTTTCAAATAGGAATTTTCTAATGTACAATCCCCATGGAAGAAAATCATGGTATATCACATTTAAAAAGAATATTTACAGGGGAAAAGTCAACTGGACTTAGTTTATTCTTTGAACTTTGAAAAATCAAGTTTTGCATATAAATATGTTATTCCCTTCATTAAAAAGAAAAGAATTTAGGAGGTCAAGACCACAAAAAGTTATTTTACATTGGAAATACAAATATTCCTTTAACTCTACATTGGATGGAATTTTCTTACTTACCAATTTTTTCATCTCTTAGGGTCTCTCCAGACAAGAGAGGAGCAGCAACATCAGATATCAGCTGAGGATAGCATCTGATGTTGAGGGAAATAAATTTTGCTTTCTGCCTGAGCTGCTCGTGTTGACCAGTGGGAAACACTGCATTAGCTTTCAAACAAAAACATTTAAAGTGCTCTCTGAAATGTTGACATCTTGCCAACTGCTTGAATGTCAAGTACTACAGATGTCCAGTACTCGTTGGAGCTCAGTTGTAATAGATGCTTGTATAAGTTGGATCTGATTCGGATTTGCTTGGGGGGAACAGGTTACATGTTATCAAGGCCCAGTCAAACAGTAAATAGTTTGAAACTGGGTATAGAGGGAGAAAGAGACCAAGCAAGTGAGAGCTCTAGCCAGAGGGAGGATAGATTTTTCCCATGCCTGGTTGTGACCTTTTCCTGTGAGGCTATTCAAATAATAGCTTCTGTATTTATTGAGAAGTATTTTTAAGTTGTTATTCACATGGCTTCAGCTAACTCCTCGAAACTTGTTGGAACACAAAAACATTTGGGAGTACGACGTATATGCACATGTCCCAATTTCAGTACCAGGAGAGAAAGCAGATAGGCTGTGTAAAGAGGTGTTAGCCTGAGAGTGTTGACTGGTGCAGGGCAAGAAATTATTAGCTAGCAAATGAGTAGAGATGATGAAAGGACCCCAAGACAGTCTCCTCTGGGACTTGGCTGACTCACTTCTCTAGCTTATCACACTTTTGTTTCCCTGTTCTTGGGATGGACTTGATGCATGATCATGCCTCATCTACTTCAGCTTTTATCCTGACACATTCCCAACGTTGGATTTAGTGCTTTTGTTTCTCTAATTTTTCTTCAGGTTACCACCTTGACTTAAATCTGGTTTGAGAACAATCTGTGTCCTGGATTGTTATTTCATCCCAATTTCTGGATATTTCCTTCTTTAACAAATTATTCCTGGGGTTCTGTACTCTTAAATTATACTCTGGATTAGCATAATCATAATACATATCTCAGGAGGAAGGGTCTGAGTCTCCTGTGCTTGTGTCTGTTTTGCATTCATCCAGTTTTGGGCCTGTATCATTAGCTTTACCCATTTTACCAGTTTCTTCCCCTTTGTGTTAGAGAAGCATGCTTGTTATTAATCATGCTTGTTACCATTGTCACACAAAATAAAACCAAAACCCTCAAAAATTAAGATTAAAGGGGAAAAAAAACCCTCAGAATTCTCTCTTAACCTTAAGTCCCCTTTACCAGCAATCATCCAAACTATGTTATCCAAACTTATTGAAAAATGATGTGCATTTGCTGTCTCTACTTCCTCATTTACTCTGCAATCTGTTCTACTCTGAATTTTATCCTCAACACCTCTCTAAAAATGCCCAAAGACCTCTTCATCACCCACTGCTCAAACACCATGGACATTTTAAAAGTTATTTTTCTTTTTAAGGCAGTTTTTAAATTTTTTTAATTTACCATCTTAACTGTTTTTAAGTACACAGTTCAGTGGCATTAATTACATTGACATGATTGCACAACCATCACCACCATCCATCTCTGGAACTCTCTTTGAAGCCTCCAGTCCCTGGTAACTATCATTCTACTTTCTGTCTCTATGAATTTGACTACTGTAGGTACTTCATATAAGTGGAGTCACACAGTATTTGTTCTTTTTGACTGACTTATTTCACTTAGCATAATGTCTTTAAAGTTAGTCCATATTATAACATGTGTAAGAATTTTATTTCTTTTTAAGACTGAATAATATTCCATTGTATGTATATCACATTTTTGTTTATTCCTCTGCCCGTGGTTCCTTGGGTTACTTCTCCCTTTTGGCTATTGTGAATAATGCTGCTACGAGCGTGGGTATACAAATATCTGTTTAAGACCCTGCTTTCAATTCTCTTAGGTATATACCCAGAAGTGAAATTGCTAGATCATATGGTAATTCTATGTTTAATTTTTAAGGAACTGATTTACTGTTTTCTGTAGAGGCTGCACCATTTTACATTCCCACCAACAGTGCCCAAGGTTGCCAATTTCTCCATGTCCTTGCTAACGCTCGTTTCCTGTTTTTGTTTGCTTGGTCTTTTTTGGTAGTAGCCATCCTAAGGGGTATGAGGCATTAAGACAGCTCTTGATGATGAGTCACTCTCCTCGCTACTTTGGTGTACTGTTCTTGTCCCTCTCTGACACTGTTTCCTTCACAGTTAAGGGCTTGCCCTTCAATGTTCATGTTTCTTCTGTGGCTTTCATCCTGAGCTCCTGAACCCCATGCTCTTGCCTTTCTCTTCCCTTTCCCTGTCCTCATGGCACTTATGGCACCTCTGCTGGCCTTTTGCATCACTCCTGCATTTCTGTACACTGTTGTCCCTTGTTCTTTCTATCCAGGTGTTCCTTGGGTTCATCCAAATCAATGCCTGTGCCTCCCTTCCTGCCTCCTTCCCCCCTCCCCCTCTCTTTGCAATAACACTGTCTACCCATCACCCAAGCTGTTAATATAAACCATCAATCACCATTCATATCCAGTCAATCACCAAAGCCTGGTGATTTTTTTAAAACCTGCATATTTCTTGACTATTCTTCCCACCAAACCCCAGGTCATTTTTTGCCTATGTTCCTTGCCTTTGGTCTGCTTCCCACCCAGAGCCTGTCCTCCAGTCACCCACGAGAGGGGTCCCCCTAAAACGCAAGCAGAGCTATGTCTGTTTTGTTGATCTCTGTCACCTGCAAAAGCAGTTGGTGCTGTTTAATGCAGCACCCCGTGCTCTGTGCTTTGACGCTTCTCATCTTCTGCCACTGTTTGCCTTGAACTTTATAATACAGCAATGCTGACCTGTTTTGAACTCTGAGTTTCTGTGGTTCTTGCCTCTTGCTTGGGCTCAAGCCCTTCCCTCGGCCTAGAACTCTGGAATAATTTTTTTCTTCTTTTACCTGGCTTGTCCTGAATTTGAACTGCATTACTAAAATTTCGGCCATTTGTGTACTCACCTCTAAATCTTTATTATATATATCCACATACCACCTACTCTATTTAAATCTGACTTTTGTGTACATGGATTTACCTTAAAAATTAAATGTTTAGTCTCATCTTGAGCAAACAAAGCTTTGAAGTCACAGATTTTGTGATTATTTTATCTTTTAATGCATATTGAAATAATTACATAGCTGTGTAACAAATTTGTCTGTATTCTATTTATTCTGAGTATTTCTTATCCCTGTATTTCAGATATAGTTGGCCTACCCTTCCTCTGGGAGCTCATTTCTGACCATCTATTCCCTCCCTCCCCCTGCTGGATAAACTCACCCTCTTCTCTATTACTGAAAAATACCATTCATGTCTCTATCCATCTATTCTTCTGTTCATCTATTCATCCATCCAAACAACTAATAATTTATTAGTCACCTTCTGTATGCTATTATAGATACTTATAGGGATCCTGAGGTACAACCATGAGTAGTGCTTAATTTGCTGGTTTTTAGTTGTCTACCATTTGTTTCTCCCAACTAGATTGTGAGCTGTTGGGGACCAGAGCAATAGGTTAGTCGATTTAGCATCTTCATTGCCTACCATTTTTACTCATGGAATAACAGAATACAAAAGTAAAGGCATGTTGATTTCTGAATTTTCTTCCAAATTTTATTTATGATACTTGTGTTTTTCATAAATGATACTTCTAAACGTTCATAAGTGATACATCTAAACATTCATAAAGGCCAGAGGAAAAATATGTTCATTTTTATTTTTGAAATTTTGTGACCTATGATATATGAATAAATTGTCTTTTATATTCAGTTTGATATGCAGAAATAGGTTTGTTTATATGTAATTCACTAACTGCTAGAACTTGTCCAAATACAAAGAAAACCTTGAATATGTATATTTCAACCAAAATCAATGTTTGGGGCTGTGTGGATTAACTTATTTTATTTATTTAAAACAATGATTGCAATGTTGAAAGCAGCTAGTACTACATTAGAATGACATAGGAAAAAATATTTTTAAGGGGATTTTTTAAAGGGAATTTGTCCATTTTTAATGGTATGTTACATTTTGTAAGCCGAAGGGAGAACTGATAGTCTCTCAAACCAAAACCCTTAAGTCTTTTGAGTTCAACACTCTTGGGGGATTATAAGTAAAAAAGTATTGACTGAATCCACTAGCACCACCCCACTAAGGACTTGGGGATACAAGAACCCTGTATAATGTATCTGGGATTTAAGTGCCTGTACCAAGCAAAATAGACCAGTTTAAACACGGAGAGTATATGCCTACAAAGTAGTTCATTTAAGAAGTACACCTCTTTTTACTGTATTTAACTTGATCACATCTGTAGTTGTGTACTGTGCCAGAAACCACTGAACTGTCCCAGGAGGCTCCTGGCCCCCCTCCAAGTTGTAATGGAGCAGCAGCAGCATAAGACATATTTGTTTTTTGTTTTTTTTTTTCCACCTGGTTCTTAAAAGTGTGCAAAGATGTACTTTTTGATGTGGCTTAGATCATATCCACTTGCAAATACACTATCTGTTCTCTCACGTCTGGCTTTCGGTAGGCTGTTTCCTCAGACTGGAATGGGCCCTCTCAAACTCTGCCATTTATGAAGCTTTCTTTTTCTTTCCAAGGAGAATGAGGGAATGGTTTCCCCCTCTCTGAATTCCTGTAGTGCTTAATTTGAGTTCTGGTTAGGCCACTCCTCGGACTTTGCACTGTATAGTGATGGCTGTCTCTCCTGGTTTAGGGGAAAGGCAAGTATTTTCCCAGTGCTCCCCCAGTCCATTCATGCAGTGGTTTGGCCTGCCTTGGAAGTGGGGACCAGGAGAGGTGACTTTTCCACAGTCTCTGTCACTCATACTGCCAGGTGTCCAGGGTGGCTTCTTTGACTTAGAACATCGTCTTCCTGCTTAGCAATCTCTGGACACCTGGTCCCTAAGACTCCAGTTTAATGGGAAAGGATGATCTTTCAGAGATATAAAAAGGTGATTGTAGCTAATCAATGTGGATCTCCACTATTTTTCTTTCTTCTTTTTCTAGTCCAAGAAATTTAGACCTTTAATATACCTCCTTTTTATTTTGAATCCTTTCATGTTTTCTTTTTGTTGCTAATTTAAATTAAACTATTATTTTAAAATTTATATCAAAAGTCATGCATTTATGTAGTTTAAGAAATCAAATAATTTTACAAAATTTATAATGAAAAAGTAGCAGTTCATGCTCTTTTTTCCTATGCCCCAGTAGCTACCTCTTTTACTCTGTAGCTATTATTTTTAGGTATCAATGCCTATATTTCCACATAACTGTCAGTTCTTGGCTTTCATGAGTGTCTGTTGACTTCACTATTTGGAATATGAAGACTTAGCGCCCTTACTCTTCACACTTCCCCCTAACCTAGATAATTATGTCCACAACTTTTGGATAAATCAGCATCCTTCATTCATATAACTATAGAATAGAACTATATGAGTATTATTTATAGCTGAGACCTAACACCTTCAAAAGCATTGCAGTTCCCAGCCTCCTCTAGTGACCAGGAGAAACCTTGCTGTCTTGGTCTAATGAGGGCAGGCTTCCTTGTGGGTCTGGCTGCACATTTT